TCGCCATTTCTACCGCCTTCCGGGCGAGGCGTCCCCCAGCTCCAAGACGGTGGCCGCTTGGTTTTCGGACTTGCTGGCCAAGCACCCGACCATCGCTCGAGAACCTTTCACGCACCATGGCCTCCGCGGCGGCGGTGCGTCTAGCTGCTTCGCTTTGGAGGTCGCCGAGCGGCGCATTCGGGACTGGGGTGGCTGGAAGTCTGACTCCATGTGGTCGTACGTGGACATTTTTCGTTTACCCACTGAGTGGGACTTTCGTTTGTTCGGGTGGATGACGATCGCCGCCCGCGACCTCCACGCCCAGTTTGGGCACATTTTCTGCCCCGGAGGTGCCTCCCGTGCCCTTGGAGAGTGAATGGGCAAACTGTTAAGTACGGGGACCTCGGGTATGTGGAGTTGTTGGTGATGGACACCTTTGTTGTAATGTGTTGTCGTGTGGGGAACATGACCGGGTGGGTTCAGGAGACCGGTCAGGTGGAAATGACATTAACTATCCTGTGAATAGATTTCCACCCAGGACGACGTTGGGTGGGTTGCGCCGAGTTTCGAATCAGGCGCAATCGTATTCAAACGGGTTTCTGGCCCTTCCTAGTACCTTGGGTCAGTCAAAGTACGGAGTGTCCAAGGGTCCGCCCGTTTTGGCGGCTTGGACTTGGCGGGCTTTGGCGGGGCTGAGCGGGGGCGGCTATTTAGGCTCTCCCCTCGGTCCCCCTCCTATCTTGTTTCGCACCCAGCCCTCCCGCCCTAGAGAGTGGAGTTCGGTTGAGTTGAGGGAGACAACGGGAAGGAGTGGATGACAGAACGGGGAAGGGGTGACTCAGGGTTGCTGTCACGGGAGAAACGTGAAGTAAAGTAAGGGCGAAGCGAAAGGGCAAACTGTTAAGTACGGGGACCTCGGGTATGTGGAGTTGTTGGTGATGGACACCTTTGTTGTAATGTGTTGTCGTGTGGGGAACATGACCGGGTGGGTTCAGGAGACCGGTCAGGTGGAAATTACCGGACGAATATCACACTCAGTTTTACGGACCGGACTTAACGGACCGGACGGCACCCGAGTGTGGCCACCACTACTAAGTACTACAACTTGAGGAGGCCATAACTTTGCCGTTTCTGAACAGAATTGGGCGTTTAAAGGCGCGTTGGAACCAAGAAGCGCCAAATAACATCCCCCAAAGGTACATTTTCCAAGATTACTAATTTCCACTCTATAAAATGTCAATAACTGCCTAACGCCAAGTAGCCACGTCACACTGCGGTTGTACGAGGCTCGACGCCACATTGGACGGGATGGCTTTTCTTTTGTGGGTGGATTCAAGACAAAAAGCCACAGAAATTTGGTTTTAGTCATGTGCTCCACTGTGTGTCCTGGGTGCGGTTTCGCTTCCGTATGGCAGTGTGACCGTACATACAAACGTACCGTATTGTAGGTGGACAGACCTTGCCGCTGATGTTTGTTGCTTGCAACTGTGGCCTCGAAAACCGTTCTCAGTTGTCCGTGACCCACAACAGTGCCCTCGTTTGTCTCCCTGGAGATGAACGCGTGGACCTTCATAGCGCTGTGTCTTGCGCTCTGTTCGTGGCCGGCCGCCCTGCTGGGGTCTCTCACCGCAGCGACGGATCCCGCTGACAACTGCACTGTAAACGGGTGGGCAGCAGGCTTGCACCCGTTCCTGCAAGAGACTGCGAATCCATAGGTGATGGGCCCAACTTGTTGAGGCCAATGATTTGGATGTGCAGGTTCGGGAAGTCCCCACTGTGCTCCGACTGCAGCAGGCTCGAGGAGTACGTCAAGGACGAAGGTGATCGCACAGCTGGCTCGTTCGCTGTGCTGGTGGCAGCGCAGTGACGATCACACCTAGCGTGTCACAACGCAGAATAACGTCGAACACTGCCTTGACTTGTCCATCCAGATGCCACAGAATCCACGGTGCCAACCACTGTGGTTCGCCTCTTTTGCGATGTTGCTTTCAGTAAAGGAGACTTGTGCCATTTCTGCAAGTCCGCTGCTTCGCAGACTTATGTAGGTCGCCAGTGTTCGGGCATTTCCGGCTCATGCGTGAACCTCAACTGGCCTTTCTCATTGGAATACCCTGCGTCTCCCTTGTGTCTGGCGATTTGGAAGGCTGTCCTGGCCTTGGGGACTCTAATTGGCTTCATATTGCCATGCCATGCAGAGCTCGTGCGGGAATGCCAAGCCTGTTGTATCCATGGTTCGTCCTCTGACGACCGAGGCATGTACAAAAAGGCGGTCTTGGAGGTGTGCAAGTTCAACCTAGCGTAAGTGGAACCTACCCTGGATGGTGTTGGGACCTGACCATGAACAGTGTCAAAAATCGCTGGTAAGCAGCAGTATGCTGCATCGCTGATGCTGCTTCCCCCATACTCGCTACCAGCAGTTGTGTTTGGGCAGTGGAGATCCCATGCCTTGCCTGACTCCAAAATGAGAGGCATGGCCTACAGTGATTATTGTCAAGGGCAGAAGCATGTGACAATGTCCATGGCCTTGTGTTGGGCACTTTGGCTGACATTGGCACTGCATTAAGAAGGGAATGAGTCGCAGGGCAATATGCAAGCAGGTTGACGTTTGTAAATGTCCTGCAGTGCAACTCCCCACATCGAGGAGTTTGTGGGAAAGAAGGTTGAGAATTATCACAACTTGGAAGTGCGGTACAGGATGGGTACACACCCAAAGTTGCACTTGTCAACAGATGAGAAGAGGGACACCATTAGAATAGACCATTGGAAGACAGAAGAGATAGAAGAGTTCTTGAAGGACAGGCTTGAGAGCCACAGTGTCTAGAGTTGCTTTGCAGATCCATTTAGTTGGCTCTCATTTGCAGGGCATATGCGTTTTTGAGCACCCTGTGTCTTCCATTGGTTTCTGTGCCAATAGTATCATATTGCCCCTGTGGCAAAGACTGGCTGGCAGAGAAAATTAGCGGCAGAAAGAATGAGGACAGCGAACAACACAGAGCAGATGTGTCTGCATTGGAGGATGTCTATGCAGTAACAGTCAAGAACGATCAAATGGCGACGGATGTGATGGATCTGGGTGTGCAAACAAATGCTTTTGATAGTCTGTTTGTTTAACTGGCTCCCTGGATGATGGGCATCACCAGTTTGTGACGTCGCAGAGAATAACGAACTGCTGCTGTGCTGCTGTGTGCTTTAAAAGCTGCATTAATGCTGCATGGTAGATGTGTTCTGCTATTCCTCCAACCAACGCCAACCTGGAATGTCAACAGATTTAATGGGCGGGGTGCTGTCGATGCAGACAGTGGCAACTGGTCGCGCCCTTCAGTCCTTATAGTAAGCTTGTATCCAATTAGGTGTAAATGGCTCTGCATGCATTCTCCTACACCTCCAAGTTCACGCTCCAGTAATTTGGAGCCAAAAAATACAACAAATCCTCTGTCTACCAGATAAGAATCAAAAGTCTTTCCTGGCTGGAGCTCCGCTCTTGTAAATTGATAGGTTCCACAAGAATTGCAACTCTGCTTAAATGCGCGATATCCCTCCTACAACACAAATGCATTTTGTGCTGAGCCTCACAGCACATGATGAAATATATTGGCTGCAAATTGTGGGAGCGCAGTCACCAGCGTTGGCATTTTATGGGTATGCCAGTTCAATTTTGCTCCGGCAAGCCAGGGGTGCTCGACGCTTTTGGCGGAGTTCGCTGCACAACACACGTGATGCAACACAATCAAGAACTGAAAACGACCAAGAAGCTCCACAGTTTCTGTTTATCGCTCGCTGGCCGTTGTAGCCATCCGCATGGTGTGGTGCGAAATAATGTGTTTTGTTTTTCCTGGCTAATTCTTGCAGCCTATCAATTATTGAAACATCCTTGTCACCATGATGCGCGTCCAGCACAATGGATGCTGTCTCTAGCATGCCCCGGGGTGAAATGTTGCAAGACAGCACTGGACTCAGAATTCCAGTCAAAGGCAACAATACGTCCGTTTTGTTGTGCTCGACGTCAAATTCATGCTGAAAGTGTGGCGGAAGGGAATGCAAATCTGCAATGCTACGTAGCTGGGACCAAAATCGACGAAGCTAAGAAGGGCCCAACCGCCTCCACCCTGTCCGCACATCTCCTCAGAGCGTTCAGCCTCCGCAAAGGGGCACTGACTTGTCAACTGGCAGCATCCACGGCCACCTTCATGGCCTGATATCGAATCGAGCATCGCATTTTCAGCCCACCGCGATCGCCACAGCGCTGGCTGTTGCCTTCAAGACTTATTCACCTTCCCCACAATGTTTCGAAGGAATTCGTGCTCCAACAGTCATTCAAAATGCCAGCGCCTTCAATCTCTGCAGCACAGGGGAGCCTGAGCCTCCCAAATTGCATTGGCAGGAATCGCTGGGAGGCATCGAAAGGTGGAATCGGCTAGAATCGCCGATGCTCCCTGCCAATCCCATATGGCGCTTGCGGGGGGACCAACGACAACCAAGCGCACTAGATGACTTGACTTGAAGCGCACTGGATGACTAGATGACTAGAAAAGCGTCGCTATACATTTCGCCTCACATGCCTCCATTGGGCAGCCCGTCTTTGCCCTGTCTCCATGCGCTTCGTATTGAGGGTTCAAGAGGTGATTCACAACTATCGTGGCCATTGCCCACAGCATCACAGCACTGATGAGTGCTGCAAGGCCTGGAGGCGACTATCATGCACCGTTTCAATAAACTGGATCACCCAATGAAGCCCACGTCAGTCTGCAGCATCGTGAAAAGAACCACACAAATGTCCGTGCATCCCTTACAATGATCCATCAACAAAAAGCAAGAGGAACTGGTAGTCGCCACCTCCCAACCGATCTCGTCACATTCACAACGTGCCGTGCGTTCATCGACCTGGATTAAAGCCCTGGTGTCTTCATTAGGAGTGTCCAAACCAGGGACACGCGTCCCCCATCCCTCCCATACAAGACGGCCACCTTCCCCCCCGCCGGCAACGGACCCAAGAGCGCGGCGCCCGCGACGCCCCCTCCAGCATGCCGACGCGCCGTGAGACGCGCCGATCCGGTCGGCCACCTGCATGGATCCCGGGCACGCTGTGCCTGCTGTGCCTGATGGCGCAGCTGGCCGCCACGAGTGGGGCGCTGTTCGCCGTGGACGTGGGCACAGAGTACATGAAGGTGTCCCTGATCAAGCCCGGCAGGGAGCCCATCTCGATCGTCACGAACGAGATGTCCAAGCGCAAGACGGTGGCGGACGTGGCGATCGTTAACGGGGAGCGGCTGATGGGCGCGGAGGCAACTGCCCTGCGGACGCGGCACCCAGGGAGGGTGTTCACGCGCCTTCGCGACTTTCTGGGGAAGCCAGCCGGCCACGCCAGCGTGTCCAGGGCGCTGAGGGCGGAGACTAGGACGCCGCTGGTGTATGAGCTGGTGGAGGACCCGCAGAGGCAGACGGTTCGGTTCAAGACCGGCGATGATTCCACAATCTCTGCGGAGGAGCTGATGGTGGGTGCCCGTTCCCAGGAACGGGAATTTGCGGCTTGGGACGTCAAGTGCGTTCTAAAGAGATGCGCAGATGTGGGAATCCCACGAGATCAGGCCAGATCATGTCCACTGTACACGCATGAGATCTGCCGCTCCGAACTCGAACATGCACTACTCAGTTGGTTGGAATGAGGCTGGTGCAGGCTGAAAGGGCTGTGCGGCGGCAAATGGCAAACCGAAGAAGGCATAAGGCTACTTACATTATCGTTCTGCAAGATGATCGCCACTGGGATTATTTGTTGCAGTGAAGTAATCATGAGCCTGTTAGCTGTTGGATTGTTGAGGATACAACAGACGAACTGTCGTCAGGCTCTGATTTTTGTGCTTCAACATTGTTTCTTTCTTTCCCTTGAAACTCCCTAAAGGGTATCTTTTTCTTACGCTAACCTGTTTTTGCATTGGCAGGGCAGCATCATTACATATGCTAAGGCGATGGCTGAGGCCCAGGCTGGGCAGGATATTGTTGACTGTGTCATTGCGCTGCCATGCTTTTTTGGTCCTGCTCAAAGACAAGCCATTCTTGATGCTGCAAGGCTTGCAGGCGCCAATGTGTTGGCTTTGGTGCACTCCAACGCAGCAGCTGCCCTCCAATATGGGATAGTCCGGGACTTTTCGAACACCACAGAGAATGTGATTTTCTACGACATGGGATCAAACGCAGTTCAAGTTGCCTATATCACCTTCTCATCGTACCAAACCAGGGATAAGGGCAAAATGAAGACAATTAACCAGCTGCGAGTTTTGGATGTGGCCTGGGACGATGACCTTGGTGGCGATCATTTGGACTGGATGTTGGTGGACCACATTGCAGATGAGTTTCAGGAGAAATACGGTTTGGACCCAAGGGACTCCCCCAAAGCAATCGCAAAAATGAAGAAGGCTGTCCGGCGGACCAAAGAGATCCTGAGCGCCAACAGTGATGCCCCAGTGTATGTTGAGGAGCTACATGACAATAAGGACTTCTCAAGTAAGATAACAAGGTGGGGCATGGTCAAGTATCACAGGGCTCCTAATCGTGTGCCTTTGGTACCGTTCAGTGCACAGAGCCATCTCTTTGATGGGTGGTGGTACCTCTGTGAGCTGCAGATAGCAGCATAATATTCCTGAACTGCTTTCTTGTTTCTTGATGCTCATTTTCTGCCACATTGCAACAATTCGATTGGATGCCGCCTTTCAGCATGTGATGCCTCATATTGAACCACAAAAAATGGCTGTGTTGTGGACAATTCTGCTACCATCAAGAGTTGGAAATGCTCTGGTTTGGAGCCAAGGGATAGACTGCAACAGCGAAATCAGGGAGGCTGCATTGCCTCTGCATCACAAGATTATTGTGCCAATGAAGCATGTCTGTGGACAGGAGGGAATTCGAGGATCTTGCTGCAGATTTCTTTGAGCGTGCCAAAAACCCCCTTGTGGAAATCTTGGAGAGAAACAATTTGAGTGTGGCTAGCCTAGATGGTGTTGAGCTACTGGGTGGAGGGACAAGGGTTCCCAAATTGCAGGCAGTCCTGTCAGAAGCACTTGGGGGCAGGAATCTGGACAGGTGAGCTTGACAGGTGATCTTGTTGATTGCAATCCAGGACTTGTGCAGTATATCACTGGCATTGGAAGGAGTCACTGTTCCTTTGTCTAGGAGCCCAATGCAAGACACGATTTTGAAACTGTCTGTTATTGACAGGTGAGTGCTGTGAAGTGAAAAGCCATGTGTGCCAACACTCTGTCAAATAGCTTTGTTGTGCTTGGCAAATAAATCATGGCATTCAAAAGAAGTCCACACGTTTGGTAGTCCACCAGGAAAACTGGTCAAATCCACAGCTGCAATGCGCCATTCGTGTACAGTGTTTCTGGTAGAATTTCGTGGAATGAGCAGTCGCCCATTGGGGCCTGCTACTTACAGCCATTGATGGCTTTTCTGTGGATGCCAATTTGGGATTCTTTCTGCACGGCAGGCACCTGGATGGTGATGAGGCTATTGTTATGGGTGCTGGCTTGGTGGCTGCAAATCTGAGCACAACATTTCGTCTGCGCCAGTTTGGTTTGGTGGATGGGGCAGTGTACCCAATGTCTGTTCAGGTGAGGACACACCTTGAATGACATTTGTTTTGCAATCCTATGTCAATAAAGTTGCCTCCCGCTGCAGAGGAAACAGAGCCCTTGGGCACTTCAGGCGATGTCGATTATGAGGGTCACTGAAAGAATGCTGGAAGCAAAAGGCAACAGGATGTGTTAAACAGCATCCCTTGCCTTCACGGATGTCTCAGAATTGTATCATACAATCAAGTTATTGAATGCCATTGGAACAGAATGTGAAACCGAAACAGGGCATGCTTTGCACTGGCTTCTTTCTTGGATTGTGGCCAATGGTGGTGCTTGCACACATCGCTGTGGCTGTGCATGTCAAAGATCTGACCTTGTTGATTTGTGCTGTGTTTCAGATTGAGGAGCCTCCGCAGTGGACAGCACCTGCACACGCAGCGGTACTCTTGTTGCAGACATTCCTGGAGTGTGGACAATTGTTCAGAAGATAAAGCTTTCCTGACTGGTTCCTGTGCAGTTTTGCTCTCCATGCCAATTGAGTGTGGGATAGATCTGTGAATGTTGTTCACAAATTTTGTGGACCTACACTGCTGTTGCGTTCTTTTTCTTCATAGATTTGCTTGGGGCCTTGTAACATCAAGTTAATTTTGGTGCTGGGCTTGCACCCCACTAGTAGCGTGGGAATGCATTGGACTTGGTTGTGACTGTACATCTTCAGGTGGGTCCAGTTATGTTTGTTATCAGCCTTCGAAATGCAGTTTTGCTTGATTTCTATGTTGGCTGGGCAGAGTGATGATGCTGAACAGCTTTTCAAGCCGAGAGCTCTGTTGCCCTACATGAAGAGACTCCCAGTGAAGAGGATTCTTCACCTCGCCAATTTCACAGCGGATCCTTTCAATGTCTCCTTTGCTTTCAATACATCTGGCGGTCGTCCTTTGCCTTCCGGGATGGAAACTACGGACTACGGAACCTATGAAGTGTCTGGGATGAAGAAGGCAGTAGAAAAGTGAGTTAAAATCTGCAGACATTCAGATACAAGTGGAACCAGTGAAAGCAAGTGCTGAATTGGGCTGCCATTTTGTTGATGAAGCATTGTTTGGTGTGCACAATTTCTCAACGCTCAGTTGCTGACGATGGTTGTCAATGCACAACTGAATGTTGTCCTTGGTCAAGGGAATTCTGCTATCTCAGCCTCACGCCTATAATAATATGATATGTTTATTGGCTTCTGAAGCTTGTTCACGTCATTTGTATTGATATATACCTGGTCGTTGTGTTTCCCTTTATTCCAGGCATGGGCAGGATGGCAAAGTTGCCCTCCACTTCACCACACAAAATGATGGGATCATCGTGTTGAAGGGGGCAGAGTATGTTGCAGAGGTGCAGCCAAATGTGCCAAGTGTGGCAAAGGAAAATGATACTGCAAATGAGACTCGCGACTCAGTGCCCGAAATCAACGATGAGGTCCAGGAAGATAGCACTGATGGTGATGAAGGGGATGCGAGCGACACGCCAGAGAGCAAGGATGATGCACAGGATGACAGCAGTGATGGCTATGCAGAGGATGCAGGTGATGGACAGCGCTCCAGTACCAGCAACTCAACAGATTCAGATAGTGCAGCATCAGAAGATCGTCAGGTGCTGGACAATAATGCAATCCCAGACAACTCAACAGCAAAGAACGAGACTGCCAAAGCACCAAAAACTGTGAAGAAAAAGACTGTCAGGTGAGCACAGCAGACCATGGAAACGATTTCCTTCTGCTACATTGCATCGATGTTGTCACGAGTTCAAAACTGCAACAACGATAAGGTCACTTCTGGCTACCTATAGTTGAGGAAGTCGCCTGCTTAAGCATGGAATGGCAAATAATGTCCTTGCTTTCATTGTGGTTGCTGATAATTTCCGAATGTCAGTGACATCTTGGGGCTGTGGTTCAATAATGGGTGGAGTTCATATGCATGGAGTGAGGTTACGAATTTTGCAATGCAGTGGCAGTACTTTGAAGCCAAAGGATGTCTAAATCACCTATGACGAACAAAACCATTAAGTTGCTTGTGTTTGGCAACAGGGTGACCTTCTACATGCAAGGCACATTTGAAATTTCCTTTTTGAAAATCTCTGTGTGTTGCTTTCGCATCTCCACACCTTGGACCGCAGCGAATTCACTAGTGTTGCTTCATTGCACTCCCAATACTCAGGGCATCAATGCAGTTTGGGTGGAACATATACTGTACACTGGACCACCGGATGTGGAACGATTCTGAGAATAGCTGAGCCTCCACAGCTGGCTGGCCTCCAAAGCTTCTGTGCTGAGATGAATGGCCCATGAAGAAGGTTGGACGCAATTGATGATCTGAAGGGGCGCATATGGGGACGTTCTGTCCTGCACAGTGTTGCTGCACTCTAAATCATTTGACGAATCCATTTTGGGTCCTTACGTCGCCCTTTGAGGTGACAAGTGTTCCGCAGTTCTTCTGCTTGGTCAGAAGCACCACCTGGTTTCTTCCACACATCGTAAACGCTTGAATGAGGCTGGCGTCATTATGGAAATATCAGTATATGCAAGAGCGGCGACCTGTTGCTGTTTATTTCCTGATTGGCTATGGCTCCCCTTGCAGGTTTCCACTGATTGTGTCACAGCCTGAGCTCACACACCCCAGCTTGGACACAAAGGGCTTGCTTGCCTCAACAAAGGTGCTGCTAGAATTCTCAAAGAAAGAGATGGAGAAGAAGGCAGGAGATGCAGCAAAGAACAGTCTGGAATCTTACATACTGAGCACACAGGAAATGCTTGGTGTTGACGAAAACATCAAAAAGGTAAGTTACAGATGTTCAGTCCAGGCCCAGGTGACTGGATAAAGACTGGGAGGTCCCCATTCCTTCATGAAATCGCCTTGCTCAAAAATGCATGATTGTTCGTGCGCTCTGCTTTTTCACTGATTTGCAACATTGCCGCATGCATCTGCAGCTCAGTCTGCCATCTTATTGAGAATGGCTGCTGATTTCCATTGCAATGGCAGGTTAGTAATGTGGCTAATGTGGCCTTTGCCTTTGTCCCATTGTGCATAGCATATTTGAAAAGAGTTGTTTTGAGCTACTCACAGCGAGTTGTTGACAGAGTGGCCTTTCAGTTGTTGTTAGATCCTTGCTAGACTTCCAACAATGATTTGTTCTCATTAATGCAATGATTCTCTTTGCAGCTCTGTAGTCATCGCCAGTGCAGTGTGTGTCCTGGTGGACATTGCAGAACTTTGTGTGAAGTTTTGTGCTCAATGCATGTTTCTACAGGTCACAACAGAAGAGCAACGAAACACATTCTCATTGGAGTTGACAGAGACGGAGGACTGGCTGTACATGGAAGGTGAAGATCAACCTGCGGCAGAGTTCAAAAAGCGTCTGGCGGAGCTGGAGGCAGTTGGGAAGAAGATGGTGGAAAACGCTGCAGAGCTCACGCGACGGCCAGAGGCTGTGAAGACAGCACAAGACTCCATCGAATTGCTTCGAAAAGTCATCAACACATGGCCAGAGACCAAACCCTGGCTCAATGAAACAGAGGTTGAGAAATTTGCCAACAAGGTCAGTTTGCTCACAGATAAATGCATCGTTGTGGCGGCTTTGGCATGAATTCTTGTATCGTTTTCACTGCTCACTGCGTGGCTATCTCGTATTGAGACTAAGACGCCCATGATCGGCCTTTGAATGTATGCCGTCGCCAAGTAGACTTTGTGCATGTTTCGTTGTCTGCTTGGCCTGAAGGAGTTTCCTTGCACTGCAGACGGATGCTTTCGAAGAGTGGCTCACTGGCGTGGTTGCAGAGCAAAGCTCCAGGGAACCTCACGAGGATCCGGCGTTCAGAAGCGAAGATGTTATGTTTAGATTCAACGCGCTGAACAAGGTCTTCAACAAGCTCAAGAACAAGAAGGCTCCCAAGCCCCCGCCACAGGCCCCAATCGTCATTGAGAACATGACGATAACAGAAAACGGCACATTCTATGGTGTGGGCGGCAATGAAACAGGCATTGAAGAGAACATAGCAGTCGATTTAGAGCAGGAGAAGGACGTGCCACAAGACCATGATGAATTATGATGGTCATTAGGATTGTAACATATGTGCCCCTCTCAAACGTGCATTATGGTGACAGTTTTGGAACAGGCGCCAAGCATTCCTGGCTGTCTCAGCAGGTGGCCTTAAAAAATACGCTGTGTGGCTCCCTGCGAGTCAGAAATAGCTTGTCCTCCCTGCGGGTTGGCCTTCCCATGCGTGCAACTAGTCCCTGCCACAATGCAAAATTGCAGTTGGTGGGATCCAATGCGGGTGTCACAGACGCGCCACTACTGGCATTGCCCATGTCGCATTAGGGCGTTCAGCATCGTGCTGAACTCGTTTGAAACATATGTTATGCACATTCTTTTACGTGGCCAGCCACCTGTATTGGGCAGCTACACACTCGATGGATTGTTTGCTTTGCTTGCGTTTTCACGTGCATCAACCTCTGATCCGCAATCTTTCCACCATACGCCGGCCACTACTGACGTCACAACTTTGTTTGCGTTTGCACTTTTCAGCGTTCGTTGAATACTCACTGCGCAGCTCAGTATAAAGCACTCTGGTGAGCTGTCCCTCTGAGCTACCCCACCAGTGGACTTGGCAACTGTTGAAAAACTCCATTAGACCAATATCCTCCACATTTGTACCAAAATTGAACTGTATCTTCTCTTCTCGTTCGAGCCCTGCACAGCTCACGAACTACAGGACACACAGAGTCACTGGCATTTTGGAGACTACCAGTGTTTATTTTTCTGGGCTCTTGAAAATACAGGAATTATGGTGCGGGCGATCTATGGGAACATGTGTGTGCCTTGGCCTGGCCTTGCAGCTACATGGCTGTTCCTGCGCTTGCATCTTTGCAACTGTCTGTACGTTCAGCTGGGCTCGGACTGTCCCCTTACGGCAGCACGGAAATTCAGTGGCCTCCGGTGCGCCTAAACTTGCGGTAAACTGAGACTATGAAGTAGCGGCCAATTTGTCAAAAGGCGAAAGCGCAGCACAAGCGCAACGCTCGAGTGGCCCTCGCAGGGGTACGATGGCATCCAGGGGAGCTGCCGTACATATGCCGCGCAGGCTCGAACCTCGATGGTAGATTCTGGACAAAACTGTGAGGGCCTGTCCTGGCGGCTGAGTGCCGTCGCCGCGCGTCCCCACAGCAGCAATGCAGGCCCAGGGGTTGCCGACAGCCTTTCGTGGCGTGGCGTGGCGATACACTCGTCGTGCGGCTGCCAGGAACGGCCGATGCCCCGAGTCGGGGGCAGTTCGCACCGCCGGCGCCGCTTTCAAGGTGGGCGGTCGCCGTTCCTCGATCAACGATCAGAAATTCTGAAGACGAATCACTGCACCGTCAGGCTTTGCAGAGCTTGGCGCGTGCGCCCAGCGTGCACCAGACGAGGCGGACGCCTGTTGTGCACCTTTGTCGTTCCGAGGGCGCCGTGCGCCCCTGGGATCTGGAGATGTGCAGAGGGGCGCGTCCAAGGCAGCGAGATGTGGAGCGCCGATCGCAGTTTGGGGGTGCATGTTGTGGGCCCACCTCGCACGATCGCACGTTTGGCTTCATTGCGACGTTACTTCGGCGCCGCGAATGTCCTCATGCCCCCCCTGCCGCAACGGGACGTCTGTGACGCTGGCTCGAGGACTCTGATCAGAGTCATGATTTCTGCATTCGCGCAGCGTGCTGGGGATAAATCAAATCGCCTTTTATCAATGGCCAGGAGAAGTTGGAGCAATGCCCCTTGCCCATGACACGAGAAACCAAGCGAGCTTCTCTTGTCTTTCCTTCTGAATTTTGCATTCGACCAACATTGGACGGCTGGTACATGTACAAGGCACAATATCTTGAACAGCGCAGCCACAGAGCGTGGGGAAAGCGCTTTGCCAGATAGTCATTGGCTTCACCTAGACGGCGTAAATGTGTCTGATTTTTTTGTTGGTGTGGTGAACAGAAATGGGGGTCTGTGCACCCAAGTCAACGCTGGGCAACGTGTACATGCGCCAAAGCTTCCAAACCAGTGGCCGTGGGTGAGCTCTTATTCTGTCAAACTGTGAGGTACTCTGCCCCCTGCCACTTTCTGCTCATCCTCACGTTACCTGGCTCCCAACTGCAGTGTCAGCACAGGAAGGCCCCACCGTCCTTGTAGCGGAGAAGCTTGGATCTGCAGGTATGGTTGCTCTGTGGACCCAGACTGCTTTAGTGCTGGTGAAGAACTCGATAGTGATTTGGAGAATTCGAATTTTTTATGTCTATTCATGCTGCACCTGGGCAGGAAGCGCACAGTCAGTGATTGATGGAATGAATATTTGCACGGCAACATGCTCTGAGATCGTCACCATCTTCGCAGGGTTAGAGATCTTGGAGAAATTTGCAGTCGCGGACACCACCTATGATCTATCACCAGATGAACTTGTGGCAAAGATTTCAGAATATGATGCTATAATTATTCGGTCTGGAACACAGGTATGTGTCTCGTTCTTGGTGGCGTTGATGTCAGCACCCCTGAGGCATTTAGAGCAGGCCTTTTGTTTTTGTCTGCTTTTGCTGAATTGTATATCTTCATGCCAGGTTGGGAACTGATGCTCTGGTTTGTTGATTGGGAGGAGCAGGTGCTCGTTTCACACAACATGGCAATGAGACTTCAGTACTGCACAGGCAATGCTTCAAAATCAACCTTAACCCTCCCTTAAAATACAGAATTGAAATGCCAATGGAAAGATAAGAATGATATAACAGGGGCTTGTGTGAAGGGCAGATACAAATATAGTGTAATGGTACTTTTTCCCCATCCTTCTCATGCCATCTACTATGGAACAAAATTGCAGATTCAGACGAAACTGTATGTTCAAGTACCAGAAAAACAACATTGCCTTGAAATCACCTCCACTCAGGTGATATGCTGTGTGAAAGTATAGGCCATTCACCTGAGATGTGTAAAGTCTCAGTTGTGTTCCCGTGTGTGGCTAAGCACAGTGGGATCTCTGTAGGTAACAAGAGAGGTGTTTGAAGCAGCAAATGGGAGGCTGAAGGTGGTTGGCAGGGCAGGTGTTGGAGTAGACAATGTGGACTTGGCTGCAGCTACAGAGGTGTGGAGCATGTATTGTGTGTAGTTCCTGTTATACAATCACAGGACAGGATATGCAATGACTGCCCTTCAATTTCAGGGGTGAATTTTGATAAAATGGCTGCTCTACCCTGTGATAATGTAAAGCATACAAATGCCCCAGCTTGTGCACCAGTGAAACTGTGCTGTTTGCTTGAGATCGTGTGTGCAGTTTGTAGATCCAAGAATCTAGAACTTAAGGGAACAATGCTGGCCCCATCAGCCAGTACAAGCAGGTCCACAAATAAAATACGGCCCTCTGTCCCAGAGCTCAAGGGCCCTCCAAGTTTTGCATAACAACCTCTTTATCTTAATCAACGCACCAAGAAATGATGAGTGACATTGGCCCCCAGAGTTGTCTTGAAGCGAAGTGACGTTCAGTTGCTGCAATGGTATTAGCAACTTAACCAGGCTTACCAAGAATCTGTTTCAGGTGTGTGCTCCATTCATGTTGGGTGCCGAGATTATGTGTGCTTGTGTGTTAATTTGAGTGCTGTGGTGAAATTTTATTCTGCAAGTTCTGCAGCCTTTCGCGATGACATGTTGTGAAACTAAATTTGCATGTTCTTTCTGCGCTGCAGCATGGCTGCTTGGTTGTAAATGCCCCCACAGCAAACACGGTGGCAGCTGCTGAGCATGGCATAGCACTGTTGTGTGCGCTGTCTCGGAACGTGGCCCAGGCAGATGCCTCTATGAAGCATGGTGAATGGACGAGGTCGAAATTTATTGGCACCGGTATAATTGGCAAGACACTTGCAGTGATGGGATTTGGCAAGGCAAGTTCAATGTGCAGTTGAATGTGGCAATAGCATTTCACTAAAGACCAATAGTATTTGTGACATGTGGAGGCTGTCACACAGCTATGCCCATAAGTTCACCTGTAGCCAAGGAAGGAGCAGAAATGTGCACGAGCTCTGTGGACTTCGATTGTTTCTGCCGTGCGTATTGGGGTGGTGCTGTCCTGCGTGGCATGTTCGTTACCTACTGTGCATGGTGTAGCCATTGCTCGATACTGGACTGAAATTCTGCTCCGACTGCTTTCGTACACAGCGCAATATTGCCCCGTCATAACCAATGGCAGCGCATGGCAAGATAATGCCAGGCTTGGTGATGGCAGCTTCCCACATTTCAGGAACAGCGTGAAAAACAAAGTGACAGTGTTACTGGCATTGCTAAATGAATCACTTTCATTTGACAGTGCAGATATGAGGTGCTGAAGAATGAGTGATGAGTGGCAGGGCATGAGTTTCGTTTGGTCTTGTGGTCAACACCTGGCTTTCTTGTTATGCAGGTTGGATCAGAAGTGGCCCGAAGGGCTCAGGGTTTGGGCATGGTTGTGATTGCCCATGACCCATATGCCTCGGAAGAGAAGGCCAGGGCCTTGGGTGTGAAGCTGGTGTCTTTTGACGAAGCCATCGAATCGGCAGACTTCTTTTCGCTGCACATGCCCCTGACCCCCTCAACCAAGAACATGTTCAACGATGATGTTTTTGGCAGAATGAAGAAGGGAGCAAGGATCGTCAATGTGGCTCGTGGGGGTGTCATCGACGATCAAGCTTTGAAGAGAGCTCTTGATGATGGTGTGCATCCTGTTGTCCCATGCTTGGGGCCATACTTGGCACTAATCAAGCACTGGCGAAGTTAGCACATCAGATGGTTGACATCTCAGTAGATGATCGAGGAGCATGAGGATTTGGGAACGGTAGTTTGTAAATGTAGTATTCCAGGCACTGAACCCTCATCAACCCATAATACTTGTGCAGAAAAGCCTGTATTGGTCTACAAGGTGTTGCACATTATTGATTGTTGAAACAAACAAGCTTTTGCAGCATCCACAACTCTTTCGTGCTGTGCACACCAAGTTGCCAGTGCACAACAGGGAATTTATATTGGCAAGTGTCAATATCATTGCACACAACAGACGAATTGGCGACTGCTTTTCTTTCTTCAGGATTGCAGGTTGCAATGGAATATGTAGCACATTGTGCAAAGTGCGGCAGTGTGTGGAGGTAGTTGTGGGGGCAGCGGAGGCGCTGTGGAGCCACTATAATTGCAGTTATTTTTGTGTCATTCGTGCTCCATTTTAATGCAGTGTTGGCGCTGACCATAGGCAGATAGGGATTGCATGTGTTGTGGTGTGCTTCGCAGGACATGTAGCACAGGCGGCACTTGATGTCTTCGAAACAGAGCCACCAGGCAATGACCACCCCCTTGTCACCCATCCCAAAGTTATTTGCACACCTCACCTGGGTGCATCCACTTCAGAGGCTCAAGAGGGCGTTGCTGTGGAAATCGTTGAGGCTGTTGTTGCCGCACTGAGGGGCGAGCTCGTGTCCACAGCAATAAATGCCCCCATGGTGCCTCCCGATGTTCTTGTTGAGCTGCAGCCATACGTCAGCCTGGCACAGGTATGTATGTGTTGTTTAGCACTGCTAACTCTCTTGCCTCCTTTGAGGAGTAAACAGTGCAGCATCCTGAGTTATCGGCATGGACAGTGTGTGTGTCAACAACCAGCAGGTTGTGCGCTTGATCATTGGAGTTGTGTGTGCATGGTTTTTCCACAGCTTGACGATTCAGCTGTTGACTTTATTTTGTTGCTTTATGGCTATTCCTTGTGCACATCGAAAAAATGCCTGTGCACATCGAAGTCGACAATAGACGTAGCAGCATCCCCATACACTGCATTACAGTTCCTTATTTTTGTTGGTTTTTGCATCTCTGTACAGAGGATTCCTCAAACACTGGAGCGGTAGAAAGGGGCGCGGGATGCCACGTGTGCGATTCCATCCGTCCTGCAGGCGTAGGTTTGGGGTTTAGGGAAATGCGCAGTACGCTGTACACGCGTCCCGAGATCAAAGATTCTGCCTGTTGTTCCATACCTGCTGGTAGTCAATGACAATGCAAGAGTTTCCTGGGATGCAGGGTCTTGGCAAAGCTGCGGTGCAGCTTGTGGGGGATACTGGTGTCAGTGACATCAGTATCTGCTATTCCAGCCCGAGAGGGGATGACCTGGACACCCGGCTTTTGCGTGCCATGGTGATCAAAGGAATCCTAGAGGAGATCACCACTGCAAGAGTTAACCTTGTGAATGCGGACCTCTTGGCCCAAAACCGTGGACTGAGGATATCGGAAATGACCGTGCGGTCAGAGGGAAGGTGAGATAGTGGTACCGGATCTTTTCAAGACTGCAGTTCTTTGCTCGAAGGTGTGCTGAACGGCACTTAAGACGCAAGGGGGGTCTTCAATAAGCGAGAAAATATTGCTTGTTGACTGGTATTATGGTAGCTTTGACAAGTGTACGTCCCTGTCTGTGGAAGAAAAGCAACTTTCCAAGAACTGCTGGAATGCTTGTACAGTGTCCATATTATACTTGCTTGTGTTGGTTTTGCCACGCCGTGAGCTTCAATCAAAAAGTCATCCCCATAGTCATAGTTGTAGGCAGCCCGTGCCTGCAGCTGCCACCACAGGGGTTCCAAAGATATGTTCCATCTGCTGATATTGCTGTGACCTCCTGCCTCAGCTGCCAGCAATTCATACTGTGACATTGCCCACAGGACGATCCTCACATCTATGTCTGTGGCAATCGGCACTGCTTCATCCAAGTTCTCTGCAGCCATGGACACTGCCAGCCGCATCTATGTGGAAGGGTGTGTAAAGGACGATGTGCCGTGGCTGGACAAAATCGGTACCTTCGATGTGGATCTTGCCATGTATGGGTACGTCCTGCTAGTTCGGCAGCAGGACCAACCTGGCATCATTGCCGCCTGTGCTAAGGTTTTGGGTGAGGCCAACATCAACATTAGTTTCATGACTGTGTCGCGAACTGGAAAAGGCGAGGACGCCATAATGGCAATCGGGCTGGACGATGAACCAACACCTGAGGTGAGTCAAGATCACTGCTGCTTTTGGTGTCAGCAGGGGAGGTGTCTTCTTGACACTATGTGCATGCTCAGATGGGCATCCAGTTCTTGCGACTGGTTGTCAGAATCGATGCTAGTGCACTTCCTGGCATACTGACCGAACATGTGACCTTCAGCTGACAAGCCAGACTCCAGCAATGAAGCAGTAGTTGCATGGGTGCAGTTGGCGCATTCCTGCCGCTGCAATGTTTGGACTGAATTTTGGTCACAATACAGTGCTTTCTGTGCAACTGTGCTCAACTGCAGCCCTTTGGCTGTAAGCTGAGAAAAAGGTGGGGCAGATACCAGTGCAAAAACAGCAGCCATTGCGAGTATTCGATTGTGAACTGCTGCTCTTGCGCTTTTGAGCACTGGGGTTTGCTTCGATGATCGCGGACCTGCTGAGCACAGGGGCTATCCACCACATCAGACACCTGTTTATGAAATGCCAGTCTGTGCTGGATGGCTTGCTGTGTCTTGTGACAATGTAGCCTGTCCAGTCTTTACTGTTGCCACTGATTTTTGAAAGTCGATTAGTTAAGTTTGGAAGTCACAGTTTGTTAGATATGATATCTCTCACAACGTCCACATCTGTGCAGACTCTTCAGGAGATTCCCAACATCCCAGGCGTGGTGGAAGTCGCCCTCTTCAGGGAGATGTGAATATTGAAAAGGGTTGTGGCAGACAGTGTTGGGGATATTATCTCTAAAATGGGAGGCTGGGAAGGAAGAATACTGTGCAAATTATGGGGCATAGTTTTATTGGAACTGCTACTCTGAATTCATTGGTGTGCTTCTGATTGGATTAGTTGTGGCTCCTCTTTATGCTATTGTCTATTGTTTGGGTGGCTAGTGGCGCCTCAGGTTCGCAGTGGTTCAGGGATAGAATTTTGATGTGAATTGTTTGACTCCTATCCAGGTATCTTTGTTCCACCCAAACTCACAGATCAGGATAGGACATCTCATTTTGCCGATCAGTATCCCTCAACATTTTGCCCAGCTTTCAGCGATGGAGTTTGGCTACATCCAACCAACCGCAGTGATCCAGCAACTGTGCTCATGGCTCTAGCATTGACAGCAGCCAAATGTGAAAGCGAATGGATCGCATAAGATCTGCTAGGCTTTCAGTAAGTTTTGCAGTGGCTCGTGAGTTGCTCTGATCGTGTGGACAATGCTTGCTCCAGGCTTGTTCCTTTTGGAGGCAACTCTGCAGTAACCACCTGGTCTGCTGAGGGACAGAAGTGTTTGGTTATCATGTTGGGCCCATTCCAAAAGGGACATGGATTGCCATCACATGCAGCACCCACCATTTGTGTGATGGCCACTTGGTATTTTGTGCACAAGGCCCCCACAACAAGTACACGAAACGAATTCCTTGTGGACATGTGCAGCCTCACCCACCGATCGTCTAACCCATGAGGGCAGACGAGTGGCCTGTGTTCAATGATATTACATTGCCAACAACATCTGGATCCACCCTGTCCAGATCAACTATGTTCAAAAACGAGCTGCACTCAAGGGGCAGGTTGTGCAACATGCCGACAACACCATTGTTGGTTCCCTTTTCAACGCTGTGCCAGGACTGAAAGGTAGCCACCCATTTGCAGATGGACAGAGCTGTGGGGGTAATGTAGCAGCCCAGCGCATGCACACATTGTGGGGGCCTCTGTGTGCAAATGTACGCCTCTAGGCGTTTGATCAGCGCTGACGTACTGTCCGCATGGGTCACAGGCCATGAGTCCGCGAGGGGTCTTGCCCCAATGGGGTGCTGTTGCAAGCACGGTAGCGTCGATGTTACCAACAGCCGCTGGCCAGCTTCAACCAGGCATGCCGCCGACTGGCCCGCATCTGCAATGAGATACTTGGACAGCATGTCCAGCACGATGGAAGCGAGGTTCAGGCACCCGTCGTCAGACAGGCCCCTATTGTAGTCCTTCACCAACTGCAGCACAACTATTTCCGCCGATGTGGCTTCCAAGAAGCCGCGGACCTCAGACAAGACAGGAGCCAGCTGCTGGCACGGGAAGGTGTGGCTCACCCAAAGCTCCCCGTCGCCGGTGTCGTTGCACACCCTTATGTCCAGGAACCGCACGCCCATGTCGAGCTGCTGCCCCACGCCCACGTCCTGACAAATGGCGTACGATCCTCCGAGGACAGACGGCAGCGAGCGCCTGTCCACGCGATTCGCTGCGGAGTTGTGGGTACTGGGGAGCACCATTTGGTGGATCCTGCGACTGCCGAACTCGGGGAACGCCTCCATCAACCCCTTCATCCATTCCTTGTAGTCGCAGGGGCCTTGACTTGGCATGCTCAGACCACCAGGCGGACGGACGGCTGCCCGGTTGAGGGCAACACGAAGGAGCCTCCAGCGAAGAACACCCAAGGCGGCTAAGAACGCCAGTGGCCAGTCCCCGGTGACCCTGGAAAGTGCGCAGTCGTGTGCTCCAGGATTCTGGTGGGAAAGGACAAAAAGTGGCGAGGGCGTGAATCTTAGGGTGGGGGCAATGGGGTCCAGGCGTGTTTTGAACGGTTGGGGCATACTTTACTTTTGTTTGTTTGTTTTCGGTGGGGAGGGGTCCACTTAGCCCCGTTCACTTCAGGTTAGGTTCCCAATCTTCGGAACGCTTTGTCTGGATTGAGCCTAAACTCGTGGTACTTTCGAATTTCTCACAAATGCATGAAAATGCACCAACGATATGGTGCGGCAAATGCAAATGTACTTGTGAATGCAAGTACAGAAGCTTGTTTGTACCTTGTGTGTTTAATACACACAGTGAAACACAGCACTTCATTGCAAATATCTGCACAGCGACGCAACGTTCGCCCCTTTTCTCGCTGAGCCTCTAGATAACAAAATGGCGTTCCTCCGGAGAAATGCCGAGTAAAACTGTTGAAGAAATTCCAACACCAGAATCCCTGACTCGCACGACGATTCGCCAGTGGATGAAACTCCGGCTGGAGACCATCGTTGGGGTGCGCACGGGGTCGCCTTCTTGCCGGACCTGCGAATGTCGACGAGGTGGCGACCCCCAGCGTTTTGACCTGAAGCGAGGACCCGCTGGCGTGTATAGAAACGATTCGTTTCAAATGGGGCGCCAAACTGCCACATGCATCGAAACTTGTTGACTGACCGACATTAGGAGGACCGTCGGGGGCCACAGGAGAGGCAGTGTTCCTGTCGGATGAGGCCAGAATGGTGATAAATAGTGCTTTATTCTGAAGGATCCGTTCGTTCCAATCCAATACGGCTACTGCAGGCGGGAATCCAACTCCCAGATCTGAACCTTAATTTGGGGTGAACTTCCCTCACCGGGGTTCCATCCATCTTCAAGACTGGTGCAGGAGGCAGACCTCATGTAGTCACATATTACTTCCTGGGTTCCCTTGGGGAAATGGAACGCACAGCCAGGACAATTGGAGAAGAACATGGGCACCACATGTGTTGTTTTCAGCAGATGAGATTCAATGAAACTAAGTGTGTGCTGAAAATGGACAACGCGCTGAATTACTTGGCGCTGCTAACAGCCAACGCATGCTTGGCGTGTTTGTGCTCTTCCATGCAAAGCACGTTTGCCAGGCAAGATTGGGTCGACAATGCCACCCACCTGTCAACGCGCCAAAGTCAGTATACGTCAGCATGATCATTCTGAACTCAGTACGCAGCGGGGCACAGTGCAACCTGGCCCTTCCTTCACGGTTTGACTCGCAGTCGAAGTGCGCACACCAGGGGCACTCTCTGCACGCGATGGGAGCGAATTGTATCTGATGCCACTCGATTTGATGCAATGGTGCCACAAGAGCACTAGGCCACCACTTTCTGTGACTTGCCTGCGGAGCTGCACGTCCTCCGCTTGGTACAGCTCTGTTCCGTCTTTGCTTCCCAATGAGAGTTCGCTTCAGTGATCGAAGCAGGAAGAACCTGGCGCCCGTGCACAGAACTTTGGCAATCGTTGTTACACATCATAAACACAAGTGCCACCCCATGGAGTTCTCACAGCCTCGTCGAAAGAACGCCAAAATGACAACGGTACACAAGCTGAAAATCACATAACCTGGCACCTGCAGACATGGTGGTGAGTGTGCAAATCCGCACAGTATTGTACATGTGTCCGGTTTCCGGAATCACAGCCCAGAACTCTACAGGAAACAATTGCCACGTTTGGGCCACACCCACCCATCCGACCAGACTGCTACCTGCAGATTATTCGTTGATGTTTATCCATCTTGGGCGCTTGTACGCGTACGGTGCTTGGCTGAAGGCGCCCAAATCAAAATAATGATATCAATGAAATAAACTCGCGCCCAATGTTTGACGACAGCAAATGTCCTGATCAAAACACCCCTTCCATTTCAGGAAGACAATCCAATAAGCTATCCCTCCCGCAGGTCCTTCCCACAACGCCCCCCTCTCACGAGACCACAGTCACAAGCCAACTTTTCAGTGTGCCACAACAACTGGAGTGGCGCACCATTGCCTGTTCCCATTTAAACACCAAGCCAAGCTTCAAGTTTCTGGCTGATCTTCCAACTTCAAACTCCCCAACCCACACGTCTCTTCAGGTGTAGCCAGAAACTCTTTCCACAAGGAGTCGTCCCTCTGAAATGCATTGTGCAGCGCATCGGACTCCAGCATCATCAGGTCTGACGACTTAAGGGAAGGCAGGCTGTCGGGGAAGTCCATCGAAACATCATTCCCGCTGGGCGCTGCAAAAACGGGGGACATTGGGCCAGATGATGCCATCGAAAACGGCGTCACCATGCTGTACCCATCAGCAGGAGACTTGGTGGCCTGGGGATCCTCTGCCTTGAACACTGCCCCGCCTTCAGCACTTGCAAGACCTGTTGCCAAAGTAGACTCTGTCTCTGTTGCAGCCCTCACTGCTCCAGAGGCAGTGCCATCCATGGTGCTGTCCAATGGTGGGAATACAATACTGGGCTGTGTTGCTGACAGCGAAGGGAAGGGCAGGGCTGGTGCATTCGCCAGAGATGACGGTGACAGACCAGAGAGGCCTTGATACATGGGCGGACCAGAGGGGTTTCGTTCAAGGGAGCCAGGCTGAATTGACGTTCCCAGAGAGGGTTCCACAGGGATGCCCAGCTCAAGTCCTGCCCTCTCAAGCTCTGTACCTGCAGGAAAGTGAATCGCAATTTCAGATGGGTATGCAGTTTTCAGGGCCACGCACAGGCTTGTTATGTACAGGGGGACAGGAACAACTAGAGTTGTAATTTGACAGAGGTGCAGGAATCAAAATTCCCCAATACGGCTACCAGGAATGTGTTCTTGTGAAGCTATCATTCTGGCAGGAAAAAGCACTACCATAAGAAAATGCATAAGAAAATGCATAAGAAAATGCCTAACATCTGGGTGTGAAGTTGTGGCAGTCATTCATTACCCACAAACGTTGAGATGTATATGTTTGCTCACCTGCACTTGGCGATGACAGATCCCCAAGACTGGCAAAAGCATCGCCCTGATACACAGATCATCTTGCCTTAAAATTGCAGTCTACTCACATACTGGGCAAATACACAGATTCTAGGAATAACACGGACAAGAATGGTGCAGCTACAGGTTGCAGTTGAGTGCTCTGTGCACTGTAGGCAAAATCCTGCTTGGCTTGTCATAGGACAAAACATCTGGTGACTATGCTGTGTACCACAAAAGCAATCCACTGGCACTAAACACCCTTTCCTAGTACACAGCTGCTCTTAGTGCTTAAATGTAAGGCTTACTGCAGCACTGTCACACAGCAGGCAGCCTGACAGCCGGGCAGCAAACGCACACCCAGTCAGCTTGTGGAATCTCTACAGGAGTCAGCACTGTCATTCAGAGGCAAATTCTGTACACATGCCCACCCGAATGGTACCCGTATCCCTATGCACCAGGACTGCTGTTTTGAACAGTGGACTTACAAACCCTGAAACAATGTACCTGGCCAGGAGCTCCAACAGGAATGCTGGGACCAAATTCTGTATGCCCTGGGTTGTGATTGTGGCTTTGGCTTTGGCTCTGCAAGGCCGTCCCATGGGTCAGAGTGTCCAACAGGCTGAGCAAGGCATCCGTGTACTCCTGCCCAGGGATGTTGGGCGGTTTGTACTGGATAAGCTGATTCTCCTCTGTCCCACTTTCCATCTCGTTGTCATTTTCCACTCCATCCATGGTCACGTCGCTGTCTCTATTGCGTCGCTTCCGGCGGCCTGCAGACACCAGAAGCCTTTGCCATCATTTTGAGCTCAACAGACAGCAGCTACACATCAATCCTGCGATGACTGCCTGTGTATGCAACAAAGCAGCAGATTGATGCTGCACACACTAGCAGCATGATCAGATCTGCCTCTGTCTGTACCGTCGATGCCCCCAAGCACTCTCACATTTGCAGGGCACTGCTAATGCCCTTCTCTTTCAGCTGCCGTCGCTACAGTAAACAAACAAGGGCAGGCCCCCCCCTTCCCCGTGGGGACCGCATCTAAGGCACACAAAAGCAGAGTGTGCTTGCCTGGTGCCTTGGAGGATCCCACCCGGTTGCCTCGCTTGTTGGCAGCTTGGAGCATCTGAGAGAGCAGGCCAGGGTTCTGCAAGAATCTGCTGAAGAGATGCAGCATCTCCACCTGCCTGTTCTCTGCAACATTCACCCTCTGAGCCAGACCTCGCAGTTCATTGTCTGTCCACTGCACATGAAGAGCACAGCACCTTCTGTTAGGAATGTCCAGGTTCGTGCCAGGGCTATCCCCACACCCCTACAGAACTTGCTGCAACGGATGCAAAGAAAATTCGGTAGGGGGAGTGGCTTCCACACCCAATGCCAAGGCCAGAAGACTTGAAACACTGGTGCTAAAAAGCTACTAGCAGGGGGCAGCCATTATACCTGGAAAACATCTTCACCGAAAGGCAACGTGCCAACCATGCAACAACCAACTGTCTAGGGAGTCTGCAGGCATCAGCGTGCAACATGGCTTGTTCACTGTCCAGAAATGGTTAGTTGCACTGTGACTGTGGTATACTGTCACAAAAATCTGGTGCTGAAGAAATGGTAGCAGCCGATATGGGCATGGCTTGCTCAATGCAGCAAATCAGTGCAACCATCAAGCACACACAAGGCAAAAGACCTCTTGGTTTGGCAAGACCAAAGCAACCATCTGAGCTGGATGCCAGACATGGACAGCTAGAACAGTTTCAGGACATAGGATAGCAGGCTTCAGCCTACCTGCTGTTGCTGCCTCAATCTCACCAGCTCTAACATTAAAACATTCTTGTCCCTCTTTAGTGCTTCAACTTCATCCTTCAGCCCACCAAATTGCCCTATCTGAATGCACAGTTGCCAATGCAACGATCAGCAGTGGGTTGCACACCATACCAGTGTTGCCCCAGCATGAACATGTAGAGTGCCCTCCTCGACATATATCATATCCATCACTGACAACCGGTAAGATCATAACTGCGCAAATCATGCAGCTGATGCACAACTTCATCCTGTCAGCTAGCTCAAACCCTGGGATGTGCAGATCCCCCTATTGAGATGCTCAGAACAACAGCTGCAAATTTGAGCATAGTCAAGCCGATGCAGAGGGATACGTCCCTACCCATCAACTTGCATACAACAAGCTCAACAAAGCTGAGCATTGGCAAACGAAGAGAGCCACAGCTATTGTGCTTATCTGGGTTTTGAATGACAGCTCACTGAAATGGCAACAAAAGATGCCGGCACCACAAAGTGAAAATTCATGCAGGCAACTTTTCATGCACTTCAGATTACAGTTATGTTGGAATTACCAGCTTATGATAAAGTGATGGCCTATTTTGTCAGCAAAGAAGAAATCGCAGCACAGATCACTGCTCTTGTGGCCAGTCGCTTGAAAGTGCGAGGACAGTTCACTAGAGATCCAAGAGACTTATATAGCTACCTCAATTGCAGGACTGCTGTGGACCAATGCAGATTGGCTACCATCAATGTTAGGCTGTGCAGCCGCTGTCTTCCTCCTGTGGATGGACTTCAGTAACTCAGGCTGACCCTGAAGGAAGTTTTCGTTGGCAAATTCCCAACGATCTGGGTCAACTTTACGGAATCCCTGGAGCAAAACCACGCATAGAAGGCATCAGCACTGGGGAACGAAATGGCTAGAGAACGTTCACTTCATCCATAAAGATTAGGATTGGTTTAGCACAGTGCAGAGCACAAATGAAGTATGGGAAGCGGAATTTCTACAACCTCCACCACATGAGGGGGCAGCCTGTGGGAACACAAGTTTGGCTGATGCAGCAGGGAGGCCTGTGTGTCGTTTTTCAGAGCATGTCACAGAGTCTCAGTGTTAAGAGCATTTTCCAGGTTTTCCCAACACTGCAGGCAAATTCTATGACTATCTTGGACAGAACAGAAGGAAACTGGGATGTGCTGACACCCATGCTGCTCTTTGGTGCCAGTGCATAGGACAGTATGGCATTGTGGCCTGTGCTGTGATACGCACTGAGTGGCAAGTGCCAGAGACACCCAAATGGACACGTTGCCTGTTTGGCATCCACTATTTTCAGGCATTTCTTGCACAACGAAGCTGAGCATGAATACATAACTCTGTGACTTCACTCCCAGGAGCTTTGGCTACATGACTGTCCAGTACGCCTCTGTTGGTAACAATGTAACAAGCATCAAGCTCGCACTGTAACTTGAATATCCTCTGGGGGAGGTGCCCAAGCATAGCAGTTTACCATCACCAATGGGCTGGACAACAAGCAATCTGACGGGCGGCCTAGAATCAAGCGACGGACGCTAGCTGCGACAGGCAAGACAAGTTTCCTCGTCTGCTCCCTGCCCGGCCTCGGGATACTTACATATGTATTTAACTGCCTCACGAAGCTTGAGAAATTATTGTGCTTGAAATGCAGAGGCAGCAGGTCTCTTGCAAACTCAGCCGGCTTCCACACAACGAAGCTGCAAGACAGACGAACCAAACCTGGCTGTCAGTGGCCTCATGAGAATCCAAACAGCTGCAAAGGCGAGGCAGCATCCCGATCCTGACGTGAGTACCTGGAGCCCAATGCGCTCCAGGAGACGATGTCATTCGTCGCGACGTCCTCCACGAGCTCATACCTGCGCACAGAGCGCGCCTGTGACAAGGAAGAGAGGCAGCAGCCCGCCGCGCACCACCCAGCCCTGGGTTATGCACTCCAGTCCATTTTTACCATCCTCTGCAACTCACGTTTTCGTGAGGAATGGGGGCGGCTGGGCTGAGCTCCCGGAGGGCTCCTGCCCCTGGCCCCGTCGTGAGCTGACCATCCAAGCAGCGCTTGCGCCCCTGGCGCCTCCGTCGACAGCTGGGGCGGAGATGAGCGCAGTGGGTGGGGCACGGAAGGGTGCGGGGACTCCCAGCCAAGCTCTCCCCGAAATCTGCGAGCTGCGGCGCGGCGGGAGGCGGTCAGGGCGGGGGCCGGCGCTGTGGGCGTCGCAGGCCGCGGCGCAAGTCGGCCCTGCGGTGTGTGTGTGGATAGGGGGTGGTTGCAACGGCCTGCAGAACTGTGTTTTTGCGCGCCCTGCTCCTTCCTTGGGTTTGCTGTCCAGGCGAGTTGCCGGAAGATTGCCGGTGCGCGGGCGCCGTGCCGGGAAGCCATTACGCAGAGCACAGCACGCCGTCATCACAGTAGGAGAAGACGTGCAGACGTGGAGGGGGAGACGTGACGGTGGGCCACATCCTGGGGTTTTGTCACAGTTGGTACCCATTGGGCAATTCTCACCGATTCCATGTCTCCGTGCAGAGGATCGGCATGGGCAAGTCTGAAGGAAAGAATGCGACAGCCGCCCTGACAGCTTGTCCTGCCCTGCGTTCTGCGTGCTGAAAGGGCGGCGCCCGGTGTGCACGGCCACGCACACGGCGCAGTCCTCCCTGGGCGCATCGCCGGCGTGGCGCCCAGCCGCGGCGCCACCCCCTTGCTCTCCGCCTGACGGTGAGCGGGTGACAGCCGACCTGCTACCCTCTCACAATCAGGCGGGGAGCGAGGGGGTGGAGGCGCGGTTGGGCGCCATGGCAGCCGATGCGCCCAGGGAGGACTGTGCCGTGTGCGTGGCCGTGCACATACGGCCACCGATCGACAGCGAGGTGGTGGCGGGATGCCAGACCTGCCTGAACGTCACGCCGGGCGCACCGTAGGCCAGTGGGCGCGGCGCGGGCGAGGGACCGGAATTGACGGCCGGATTGGTGGCGGATGCTCGCGCGGCATGCGCTTCACGGGCGGGAGCAACTGAGTGAGGTGAGTCGCTGAGTGTCGGCGGGGGGAGTGAACGCCGTGGCCGTGGCCATCCAGATCTCCTGCCTAGGCAAGAGCTTCACCTTCGACCACCTGTTCGGAGCTGAGGCGGGGAGACATCGGACGGCATCTTCAACCACGCGGTGTACCCGCTGACGGACGGCCTTTTCAAGGGGCACAACGCCACGGTGTTCAGGTGCAACCAGACAGGGTCGGGAGAGACCTACACGTTGGGATCGGCCTACACGCTTGGGGGGCCCAGGGTGTCGTGCCCACAGGTGCTGGACCTCATTTTCGAGAGGCTGAACCGCCAGAGGACGTGGAGTGCAACGTGCGCGCCACCTTTAAGGAGATTCACAAAGTGGGTGCCGGCCCACTGCGTCGCGGCCCCTGCTGCCAGTTCCGCGCGTGCATGGGCTGGGCGTGGCCAGCTCCGCGACCGGGGGATTGCGCCCTGGCCGGAATGCGGCGGGGATGGGTCGGTCTGACGTGCCTTACCGAAGGTAGTGTGTCAGCATAGAGGAACATGTCGTGCACTGGGCGCCCCTATCCTCCTGCTAAGGAGAGCGAAAGGTGCAGTTTCAGTACTGTCGGAGATGTTGCGAAAGTCAATGCTTTCGCCATGTCACTTCACTGCTGATTTTCCCAACCCTGCAGGCTGGGCTGTGGGCTTTCACACTATGCCAAGAACGCAAAAGAGCGTGTGACATCCAAAAAATGCTTGCCTACCGCTGCTAACCACAAGTGCAGCCCATTCGCGGACCAGGTGGTTCGATTCGTGGTGGCTATTGTGAATTGCGTGTGTGATTGTTTTTGCACCTGTAGCAGGAGGTGAGGGAGTTGCTGGTGATGGACATCAGCCACAGGCCAGCGATCCACGTTCGTGAAGTCCCTGCTGGTTCGATTCCTGGTGGCAGTAGTGAATTGTGTGTGTGGTTGTTTGTGCACCTGCAGGAGGAGGTGAGGGACTTGCTGGCGATGAACACCAGCCACAGACCATCGATCCACAG